TAGGCAGCATGGTGGGGCAGTCGGTAGCACGATCGCCTCACAGCAAGGTCGCTGGTTCAAGCCCCAGCATGGGTCAATTGGCGTTTCTGTGTGAAGTTTGCATGTTCTCCTCGTGTTTGCGTGCATTTCCTAAGGGTGCTCCGGTTTCCCCCACAGTCCAAAGACATGCGCTATAGGTGATTTGAAAAAGGTTAATTGGCTGTAGTGTATTTGTGTGAATGTGAGAGTGTATGGGTGTTTCCTGGTGTTGGGTTGCAGCTGGAAGGCCATCCGCTGTGTAAAACATATGCTGAATAAGTTGGCAGTTTATTCCGCTGTGCCGACCCCTGATTAATAAAGGGACTACGCCAAAAGAAAATGAATAAATGAATAAAAACGTATTGCATAAGAATAAATAAATAAATAAATAAATAAATAAATATTTAATTTAATTTATATTTAAAAAATAAACTGTAAAGTTGTGCAATACTGCCAAACATGTGATATCTTCAATTTGTTTTAGTGTGGTGTTTTTGTACTTTTGCCTGTCATGGATAAATAAATATGACACTACATCCTCTGGGAGGTGAAGGGCAGCATGCACCTTTTTAAATCAAAGAGTCATTCACAAAATCAATTATTCAAATGATTTATAATATTTGATTCCTTTAGAAAGTAAGAAGTGACTGCACTGTTCCCTGTGTGATATCTATAGAGCCCTGCCCATGACATTCAGAATTATTATAATTATTATTATATGTTTATCATGGCCACGAATTAAAAATGAGCATGGAAATTTCTTTAGTCCCTGTTTAATATATCGGTGACACACTATTATAATTTTGCAACAGTCATGATGTGATATGACACACAATATTTTTTAAAACATAAGTTAAACACAAGGGGCGAGGCAGTGGCGCAGTAGGTAGTGCTGTTGCCTCACAGCAAGAAGGTTGCTGGTTCGAATCTCGGTTCAGTTGGCGTTTCTGTGTGGAGTTTGCATGTTCTCCCTGCTTTTGCGTGGGTTTTCTCCGGGTGCTCCGGTTTCCCCCACAGTTCAAAGACATGCGGTACAGGTGAATTGGGTATGCTAAATTGTCCGTAGTGTATGAGTGTGTGTGTGAATGTGTGTGTGGATGTTTCCCAGAGATGGGTTGCGGCTGTAAGGGCATCCGCTGCATAAAAAAAAATCTTGCTGGATAAGTTGGCGGTTCATTCCCCGAATTAATAAAGGGAGTAAGTGGACAAGAAAATGAAATGGAAGTTAAACATATAACAAATGTAAAACACAAAAAATCCAGAATATTCCTAAAAATCAATATTCAGAATTATGAGCAAAGCTGTGTCTAAAGTCCATACAGACAACCAAGCAAGCCCAAAATGTAGTAAGCTTAAATCAAATACTCCACAGCATCTCACCTCCAGCAAAGGTTTCTTTACAGTGTTCTGGAACTGTATTTATATTTCACCATGCCAGGGGATCTGAAAATATGTTTAACTAGTAGTGCTGTGCAAAATATCAGGAGAATATCAGATTCCAGCCAAGTCATGACTGGAGACGTTCATAAATCTCTGAATGACTCTCATTTATCCTTGAACCAGATTCACGAGACAGGTGGTCCGACTGGAGAAATACTGATACCACCAAAGATCTGGAGTTCAGGCAGAACATTTGCAAGTAAACACATCCCAATGACAGCTATATTTCTGTGAAATTAAAACATCTTAAGCGATGACTAGTTCAGCATCCCGTGATAGCATGTCTGTTTTCATTCAACTGTCACTTCATTAAGAGCATTGTGAAAGGATTCTGCTGTATGTGTGTGGTTATGAAAGCCAGTACAGCTGCAGCAACGTGAGAGAGGAAAGGCCCATGTTGACATTTGTATTGTTGTTAGTATGTGCATAAAATCTGCTCTCAGATCAGTGTTAAAAAGCAACTTGAAGCAGCACAGGAAGTCTCATCATCACAAGCATCTGCATCCCAGTTCCAGAAAGGCAACCAAAAGTTGCAGATGCTTCATTATAAATTCTTTGTAATGTGTCTTTGTTGCAGAGGAGCCATCCGGATTGCTTTGACCGACTTGACAAACACTGTTATAAATCAGCCTGTGGAACTTTTATAGAATTGGATCAGACATTTTACAGATGCACCACCGACACAGTCCATGTATACAGCCATTTTCACTTACATTTTATTAGTCTGTTACACAAGAGCTCTGCAACCCAAACTCTTTAACAAATGCAGCTGTACGGATGTCAGTTTTACTATTTTTACCAATTTCTGTTTGCTGAAAGACTCTTGAAAGGATTTCATCTACTCTGAGCTTTTATGTTTGTTTTGTTTTCTGATTTATGCATGCAGATCAATGGTTAATTTTCAAACTGACCAGATAAAAGCTCCTTTTTATGATGCAATTATTGTATTTTGATGATATATGCTAGCAAAATTTCACAAATAGTGTGATATGGGTCAATATTAGTAAAAAGTTGCATCCTTTCAACATGGGCATTTGCTCAGTGCATTTGTTGACTGTACCTTGGTTGTGTTGAAAGTAAAAAAAAGTCTTTGTACACCTAGATTGAGTTTGTTCAATTAAAAAGTCCTATATACAGACTCAGGCGATGCAGTGGCACAGGTAGTGCTGTCGCCTCACATAAAGAAGGTAATGGGTTGAAGCCTCGGCTGGGTCAGTTGGCGTTTCTGTGTGGAGTTTGCACGTTCTCCCTGTGTTTGCGTGGGTTTTCCCCACAGTCCAAAGACATACGGTACAGGTGAATTGGGGAGGCCGAATTGTCCGTAGTGTATGAGTGACAATGAGTGTGTGTGGATGTTTCCCAGAGATGGGTTGCGGTTGGAAGGTCATCTGCTGCATAAAAACATTCTGGATAGGTTGGCGGTTCATTCCGCTGTGGTGACCCCGGATTAATAAAGGGACTAAGCCGAAAAGAAAATAAATGAATGAATGAATGAATGAATATACTGACTCACTCATAAAGACATTCTCTCATCGCTGGCAGAACCTGCACTGAAATCAGCATCAGTAAAACACTGACCATTTTTTTTAATAGCAAATTAAATCCTCAGCAACAACTTTTTGCTCTGGAACAATTAATAGATTAATTAGACCAAATACTGCCTGTTAGATATACCCTAAACTAATGATGTACCTATTGGGACTTACACAAGTGCCAGTGGTAGATTCCAGAAGAAACGGCAGAGGTAAAGATACTATTGGCAGCTTCATAAATGATGAACAGTTGCTGACACACTGAAGCTCAGATCTCTAAAATCTCAAAGACAATATCTAGACATCTTTATGAACCACTAGTTCAAACAATTAAATAAACTATATATATATATATATATATATATATATATATATATATATATATATATATATATATATATATATATATATATATATATATATATATATATATATATATATATATATATATACATATATATTTGTTATTATATATATAATAACAAAAAAAAAAACACTAATTCAGACCATTAAAAACTACAATAGCTATTTACAGTGGTACTAAAAACACTTTAAGATTTGATATATTATTAGTCATTGAATGAAAAAATGTACTCATGGAAAAGTAAACATTTTTAAAACTATTTAGTAAATTACAATTTCTGAGAAAAACTACACAATTACAGTAATTTGAGTACTTGTAATTAGTTACTTTACACCACTGTTAATAGCAATAGTACAATAAAATAAAGTGTGAGCCTATTATCGTTAATAATTCTAGAGTTCATTTATGCTTGTTTTAAAATATGTTTTTCTGTTTTTAATTGAATTGTAAAATTTTATAGTTTATTTTGTTTTACCCTCCTCTCATTTTTGCAAATTTTTAAAAAGTACACAATCTAAACATATACTCTACCTGACAAAAGTCTTGTCGTCAATTCCAGTTGTAAGAGCAACCAATAATAACTTGACTTTTAGTTGATTATTTGGAAAAGTGACAGAAGGTATAGACTTTTCAGATGAATCATCTGTTGAACTACACCTCCATAATCACAAATACTGCAGAAGAGCTATTAGAACCTGTATGGACCTAAAGTTCTCGCAAAAATCAGTCAAGTTTGGTGAAGAAAAAAATCATGGTTTGGGGTTACATTATGTGTGGGGGCGTGAGAGAGATCTGCAGAGTGGATGGCAACATCAACAGCTTGAGGAATCAAGCCATTTGTGCTCCTTTTCATACTTCTGCCTTCACATCAAAGTTCCTGCAAGCAAAGAAGGTCAAGGTGCTCCAGGATTGTCCAGTCACCAGATATGAACATTGTTGAGCATATCTGGGTAAGGTGAAGGAGGAGGCATTGAAAATGAATTAAAAGAATCCCGATGAACTCTGGGAGTCCTGCAAAAATGATTTTTTTTCATTCCAGATGACTTTATTCATAAGTTATTAGAGTCATTGCAGAGATGGATGTATGCAGTCGTCCAAGCTCATGGGAGTCATACACAGTAGGCTATTATTGTTTTTCCACTGCACCATGACTTTATATTCTACACTGTACATTATTTCTGTTAAATGCCTGCTTAATAATTTAGTAGTTTTGTTTCCTTTGCAACGTTTCTTCTATGTAAGAAACCACAGAAATCAAAAAATGTACTTTAAAAGTGTATTCACAATGTATTGTAAATATGACAAACACGACCCTTCATGCTTTTACGACCCCTTCGACCCAAAATGAGTGATGCGTTCGTGAATTGATCATCATCAGCATCATTAGACAGAAATGTTTAAGTCTGTTTCCCACGCGCACAGCATAAACTTGTTACCAAACAGGCGCAAAAGGGTTAACTAATAGATTCAGTTTCGCGTTGCATAAAAAAGGTAATTTGTCATTCAAGAGCATTGAGCAATCCTATCGTTGAGCCAAGCCGGTTGCATTACTATTGGTTGTTTCTTTGAAACGCATTCATTAACTCTCGCGACGCGCACCGAAAAGCAGCGCGCGCCCAACACTCTTATCAAAACTGAAGAGACCGAGGACGAGTGCGCGCGGTAGCGTACTAATGCAAACAGAGCTCTTAACACAGCGACGCATGTGGATATAACTGTTCGGTACAGTATTTTCGTCCTTGTGCCATGAAGAACCTTGCCCTGAAGCTGTGGCTCTCCATCGCTCCGTTTCTTTGTCTGCCGCTGCTCAATGCCTTGGAGGATGAGGACTACATCTGGCCACCGGACAGTTCCGACAAACACCCGCCGTGTGTGGACATTCCCGAGGACCTGAGGCTGTGTTTTAACGTTGGCTACGGGAGGATGATGCTCCCCAATCTACTGGACCATGAGACCATCGCGGAGGTGAAGCAGCAGGCGGTCAGCTGGGTTCCGCTGGTGCACAAAGCCTGTCACAAGGGCACACAGGTCCTGCTCTGCTCGCTCTTCGCCCCAGTGTGCCTCGACAGACCCCTATACCCGTGCCGCTGGTTCTGCGAGGCTGTCCGGGACAGTTGTGCCCCCATCATGCAGGCGTTTGGCTTTCCCTGGCCAGAAATGCTCAGATGTGATAAGTTTCCTTTGGGCGAGGTTTGCATTTCATCGAACGCCACCAAGAGTAATGAAACAGACTTAATCGCAGGTGAGTTTATGTGTGTATTTGTATTGAATTTCTCGTTATTCTGCTTTTTAATCCTGTATATTAAACATAGAATTTTTCTGTTAAGTTACGCTGTTTCTAAATAGGCTATTGTATTTATGTATTTACTTTATGTAATTTTATTTAGCTACTTTACATAAAAAACTTTAAGACTTTAACATTTTAATCAGGTTTTTATTATTATTAAGTATTTATTTATTTAAATCAAAAATTTAAATGATTTAAATGATTTATTTGAATCTCATTTAATAATATTTTGTACATAAATTTCATTTGTTAATATTTTTGTTATATTATTGTTTAATTATTTAATACTAACAACATGTTTATCTCAATAAAATGCTAGATCTTTTCATTCATTTCAGGATTCATTTTTACATTTTTTTATGCTTTTTCTCTGTCCATCTTATGAATTATTGATAAAAATTGTCAAACAAACTATACATATTTATTTTAACAACACACATATTTAACATTTAACAACAATTTCCACATAATATAGCTTTACATACAAAATTGTATATATAATATTCTGTACATACACTTTTCAAATTGTATATAGTTGAAGTCAGAATTATTAGCCCCCTGAATTATAAGCCCACTGTTTATTTTTCCCCAATTTCTGTTTAACGGAGAACATTTTTTTTTCAACACATTTCTAAACTTAATTTCTTAATAACTCATTTCTAATAACGGATTTGTTTTATCTTTGCCATGATGACAGTAAATAATATTTCCCTAAATATTTTTCAAGACATTTCTATACACCGTAAAGTGACATTTAAATGCTTAGCTAGGTTATTAGGTTAACTAGACAGGTTAGGGTCATTAGGCAAGCAATTTTATAAAGATGGTTTGTTTTACAGACAGTCGAAAAAATAAATAGCTTAAAGGGGCTAATCATTTTGACCTTAAAATGGTTCATAAAAAATTTAAAACTGCTTTTATTCTAGTAATTCTGTAAACTGTCGCTGTCATTGTGTTGCACTGTGGAAACCTCTGCCATGAAAACAAAGTCTTCTTATGTGTAAACATTCCTGGAAATAAAGCTTTTACTGATTCTGATTCTAGTTGTTTGCAAAGAACCCCTGTAGGGGAGCCCAGAGTGTTGTAGACAATCATTATAGTAAACAGTGTCAATCTTATCTGTAAAATATAATATAGTTTTAATTGAGTTAATTTACAATTCTCATTTAAATGCATCTTTGTTTAATAAATTGTTTTAAATTTCCTTACTATTATTATTAGTAATCAGCAGGCGTCAACACTATTGTTCTGTAGTGTATGGTTTTATAATGCTAATTGTGTGCTAAAATCTGTTTGTGATGCATGAATGACAAGGTTACTGATGTCAGTATTTTGCATAAGATATTTTAAAGTGGTGTCAAAGTCCTAAACATGGAGTAATCAATTTGCAAACTGTATATTATTGTAAGAGTTTAAATGGAAGAAAAAAGTGCCTTTTTACCGGACATGATTTGATAAATATTTAAACTATTTTACTATATATACAAACTGTATATGAATATATTATATAAATTATGTAAGTAATATTGTGAAGAATTGCTAACAAGCTAATGAACAATCATTATTGCATTCATCCCCTGTGGCAGGACATTTGGATTGAATCTTTCCTCTTTTTTCTTCTTCTGCAGGTGGCTCATCTGTTTGTCCAGCATGTGAAAATGAGATGAAAACAGATTTGATTCTGGATCAGATGTGTGCCAGTGAATTTGGTAAAGAGACACTGATATTAATTGATGCATTAAAGTTATTATTAGTGTAATAATATTGTATTAACTTTGAAACACCAAACAAAAATAGTTCAGACTGCATCTAAATATATCATATTTAAAAAGCTTTAATAAATAAATTAAAGATGAATTAACATTAAAAAGGATATTGTCAGTAAGAAGTTGCTTAACAACTAAGAAGTACGATATAGTCAGTAAGAAGGTGAAGAGAATAAACGATTGTCTCTGAAACACAACTGAAGTAAAATTTAAAGTAAAAAGTAGCCTTTACTGAAAAGACTGAAAGCAGTATTGGAAAACAAATTATTTTATTGTACAATTCACACCGCTGCCAACTAATTTTCTATTTATTAATACTTAGTAAGACAGTTGTTGGATTTATGTATTGGGTGGGATTAGGAATGTAAAATAAGATCATACTTCATAAGTACTAAGAAACAGTTATTAATTTATTAATAGGCAGGTAATAAGCCAGTACTTATAGTATGGATTGTTACTAAACGTGTTACTCAGTTGTTTTTCCCTGACTAATATAAAAATGCTAATCTTTTGGTTGAAACTCACCACAGAATGAAAGGCATTTGGGTTCAAAACAGTTTTGAAAACGAGGTCTTAGACTATTATGCAGATCTGTCTGAAACACATCGAAACACACTTTAGATCTGAAGGCTTTTGGCAAAGATCTTTTACAATCATAAGCAAATCTCATTCCAAGCACTGTTCAGTACACTGCTACTAACGCAAGTGATTTCAAAATGCTTCGTTTATTGGCCAAAGCTTAATGATTTCAAGAGAACAAAACCCGAACAACTGATTCCCATCATTGTGATTCTGTACTGGTCCAGATTTTTTTTGCTTCAAACATTTGTTTCCAATAATATTGTTGCTTAAAAAAAAGGATTTCTGATATTACTGTCTGCATTTGCTCAGCCTAAATCAAAATTTCTCTCTTGAGACAATAGGAACGGTGTAGAGTTGCTTAAACACAACAGCATGTGTGTTCACACAACTGATAAACACTTAGTGTTGTGTGTATTGTTTACCACTGCACTGCTCTTTTTTGTTGCTCCCTTCCCATTATTTTGTTTTCAATTGCAACTCTATGTCAATCCTTTTTTTTTCTTTTTGTATATGCATATTTCATGTCTTTTTTTTCCGTAGAATAACATATATGACAGGGGATTATTAGATTTCAACCGCAAGTGGAGAAATTACGGATTTATACAAAGCAGATCTACTTCTTCCATTGCTAATGCAGTTTTTAGCAACCCATGATGTGGGCTGAATCCAGCAGCTTACTTTTTTTTCAGGGTCTGAGATGTTGTCAAAGACAGGAAGCTCGCCTCTGGCAAGAATTTCATGGGACCTTTTATTTTTATGGCAAGCTATCAAGGACTAACCCAACAAAGACTTTTACTAGCCATTATAGAATGACTGTGTCTCAAACTATGCATCCCTACACTGTAAAATGTGAAAATGAAAACGTGTAGTTAACTTTTTCCATTGGATATTTCTACCTGATCTCATCCTAAAATGAAAACATAATCATTATTTGGTAAATGTAACCATATGAAATCAGCATATTAAAGAACTTTAGGATGGATAGTGATGGAAATTTAATTTGTAATGGTCTTTTTAAAAATAATTTTCCACAATCACACCAGTGTATGGTCTTCACATTATAGCAGATCATAATGTTTATTAAAGTGCACCATGTCAAGTATTTGGTCAAATTTCACACTCTTCATGGAATAGGAACATTGTGCAGATCACTGAATGATGAAGTCATAGAGAACTAGAACTTCAATCAGACACTGTTAACCTTATTATGTGTTTGCAATGCTTGAATTGCCAGGTGTGCCTCAGGGATCGATAATAAGGCCTATTTAGCAGTAATAATAAGTACGTTTTTGAGGAATTGTGCAATTGATCCTGATCTTGGTTGGATTTTGAATTTGATTCCGACCCAAGAAATGTATTCACACACACGGAATGATATTGCAATACAACACATTGCGCCATGATCCAGCTTTGCACAATTAGCACAGAATAGCATCTGAAAGACATAAACTAGAGTGAGTTCTTGGCTTAAATGTGAAAACCGATGATGAAAAACAGCCAAGTGCTAAGCATCTCCATGGCGAAGAAATACAACAATGACCTTAAGCAAAAATACTTCAAATATTTGCGTTTTCCTTCAATACTTGAAGGATTTCGCTTTTAAATAAAGGTTTTACCTTGCGTAACTGTTTCAGACGTTGCATAACTCTTTTAAATGTTTATTCAGGATTTCTTCGGTGTGCCATGAAATTGTCTCATTTAAACTCGTGAACTTTAATGACTTGTGAAAATCTAAAATCAACATTTTTTTTTCTTTTTGCAGCAATCAAGACGAAGATCAAAGAGGTTAAAATAGACAACTTGGACCGAAAAGTCATTCTGCAGAAAAGGAGAAAACTGGTGAGGGCTGGAAGTATGAAAAAGCAGGATCTGAAGAAGCTTGTGCTTTACCTGAAAAGTGGAGCACATTGTCCATGCCAACAGCTGGAAAACTTAGAGAACCACTATCTAATCATGGGTCGAAGTGTGGGGAAACAGTATGTTTTGACAGGCATTCACAAGTGGGACAATTCTAGCAAAGATTTTAAGAAAACCATTAAAAAACTCAAAAACCATAAATGTCCGTCTTATGATCACGTGTTTAAATAATAATCACTTGGAAACTAATCTTACAAACATAACATGATATTACTTTTTGTGTTACATGCCACAATCTAGTTTCAAAAGAGCTTGTTTGACAAACAAATGGTGAAAAAAGTGCAGACGAGTCTTATTTAGTTCAATCTCAAGATGTTTTTCTAATCAATCATCATTATGAGTTCTGCTTTCACCTTTTGATTTATCTTGTTGGATTAATATCTATCGGTGCAATCTGTTTAAAATGTTTATGTTGTAATATTCATCACAGCTGTCAGTTATTCTTCTATTCAGTACAATACATACTGCACAATACCTTAGATAATAAAGTGACAACCTTAACAGTACATTTTGTCTCGCATAGGATGCAAATCACAATTATTCTCGCAGTGAAATGTGTCCTATAGCATGCCTGTGGACTTGCACAATGCACTGTAATCAGTCAACATTAAAACAGAATGTATTTTTAATAGATCTGACTGCTCTGGTGTCTTTATTAGATGTTGAACATAGGCATGAGCTGGTATAAGATTCTGACGATATGATGACCTTGGATAAAATATCATGGTTTGACGGTGATGTAATTACTGCTCTAAAATAAGTTATTTTCAAATGTCTGGGTAAAAATAAAACTTTTTCACCGCTTTGAACACAATATATTTTATTTTGAGAAACATGTCAGGCTAAATCATTCACATGACTCACTGACTTCTGCTGTCTTCATTAGTTTCAAAAACACAGATTTCTTTTTAAATGGCATCTTTGGATATCTTTTCTGCTGGAGATACTCTTGTCATAAAAAAACATGTAAAAAAAACAACAACGTAATATACACATACCTCAAGAACGGTATAGCAAAAAATGTTGGTGGTTTTAAAACCTTGACTTTTCCAAACCGCAGTATACCTTGAAAACAGCTATCCCCCATGTCTAGTTGAACATTAGTGACCAATTTCTGTAGTGTGGAAATGCAAAAGACGAGTAGCTGTTTTGACCTGCCAAATGGTCTCACATTTTAATAGGGCACATGCTGTGAAATCACCGCGAACTGAGATCACATTAGAGAAATTTCAGACACTGCATGCGCACTGTGTAAGCAAACAGCCAGACAATGTGTTTATCTTGTACAGACAGATCAGAAATGTTTGTTTTGGGAAAGATTTGGACATTTATTTCTCCTAGCTCTGCTGATGAAAGTTTTGAGCTTTCCCTTATGTTTTCCACGAAGACAGTTTATTGTGCCAAAGTATTACATGATTCATATTCAATTATAATCTGTGACCACAAAACCAGTCATAAGTGTCATTTTTGTTAAAAAGAGGTTCATACATCCCCTGAACGATTAATGAATAAGATGTGCACTGATAATATTTGATCATGACAACACTATTTCAAATGATCTAATCTGAAGGTAATCACCTTTAAATTAGTCTAAAATAAGTGCTTATCAATATATATTTAGTAATAAATAATTTAGTTTTGATATATTAAACATCCCACAGTAGGATATTCACAAAATGTCTTCATGGAACATGATTTTTGCTTTATTATTTAATGATTTTGGCAAAAAAAAAAAAAAATCGTAATTTTGAGTCGTTATTTAAAGTAATGATTTTTGCACACAATATTATTATTAACATGATGATATTTAGATTGAACAGCTAAAGACATACAGCTTTTTTTTGAGGATGCTTTTTTGGAATTTGAACGAGTCAGGAACCTTGCTGTATTTTGAGGATGAGGTACCTCTTAAATTTTACCTGATCTTAATTGGTTTTCAGAAAATGAATGAAGGTCACAGGGATTTGGAATGACATAAGGCTGAGTATTTAAAAACATCATATTCATGTTTAGGTGAACTAACACTTTAAATGCTCTCTATAGGGAGAATGCCCCTCCCACTAGCATGCCTCCAACTAATAACAGACAAAGCTTCAAAACAATCAAACAAATTGCTTAGCAATTTGACTCATACACATTCAAAACACCAAACAGGAAAACCTGTTGGTCAAAACCATGTAAATGCAAACAATATTCAGACAAAACATTGAATAAAATCATAGACTGTAAAAATTAAAGACTTAAATGAGCATTTTCATACACAATGCAAATGTTGAAAGTATCAAATGCACTTAGCTTATTGTCTAATATCATTAAATATGAAGTGTCTACATAATATGATTTTAAATCAATTTTTAATATATATATTTCCATTTTTTTCCATATTAACTATAATATCATACTTTTCCATTTTACAAAAGGCTCATTTAAACATCTACAAACTCTTAAAACCTGATCTGAGATCAGATAAAAACTGAAATAGGTTCTATGATTCACCGGGGCAACCTGAACAAATCTGAATAATGTGGATTTTATGGTATTATATCATCTGTCAGCTGAAAACCATTTAATTTTCATAAAGTAGAGATAAATAACTAAGTTACTAATAACTAAGATAAAATAATAATAATAAAGAAAACTACTAATAAAAATAAATTAAATAAATAAATAAATAGAATTTAAATCAAACAAAATAAAAACATAAGGTGCACTCCTACATACGGCAAATAATGTAAATGCTGTTTGTATATAGAAGAAAACTGGATATAGAGATAGAGGTTGAGGGGAGTCTTAATCATAATGAACAGGTCAAGCTGAAGAGTTTGAACATATTTTATAACGTATCTAAAAAAAAAAACAGTAATGAAATAGCAAGGCCCCATTTAGAGAAAAAAAATTTAACCTTGCCCATTTGACACATGCTCCAAACCACTAATTCGAAACGTGGATTTGTAAAAAAAGTTTCGAAGCGTAAAGCAGTGCTTCGAACACAGCTATGACTACCTTCAATTAGCATGTAGAAAATCACATGTAATTTCTGTGACGCACACATGGCAATTGAAACAAACAGTCTACGTCAACTCTAAAAAAGCAAACCATGTTTTTTTAACCGAGGTTGCTTCCCTTAGAAAACATCTGTGCTGTAATGCTGATCAGAAATCACCTTGATACGGTTTAAATGCCCTCATTTGCTGCCGATGAGCTGTGAAGCAGTAAGATCTGTTATCTGCTATCATGCTCCAGCAGGCCTGGCTCTCAAATGACCTGACTTTGCAGTAATGATGCAGAATGCTCCTGAACAGTAACTAAACACTCGCTTTCATCCATTTGATTTAGGTGGAACAAATTTAATTTTGCATCATTTCAATGAAGAAGTGTGCAGCCTATTACACCAAAGAACCAGAGAAATCTTTTTAAAGATGTTGTACAGATCATGTAAATGTAAAGATGCTTGACTCGCAGTCATTTGAATGTGTGTGTCATATTGCCTTTGGCACTACACCTGTTTATATTCCCAGCATTATGAAGTGTGCAAGAAAGATAGCATCAGATTCAGATAGCATGGCTGTTGACAACATGCTTATGCCAATCAATCTGCCATGAAATATTTCTACACACAAGTGCTGCTTTTAAAGTCGGCAATACAGTTTTTTGTGGGAAAAGAGTTTGTAAAAACGTAATCATACTGTAACATTCATAATGCACATGCAATTGATTTATGTAAATGCATTTAACTATACAGTTTTTACTTGGTTAGAAATGGCGATATTTGAAATGTTGAGAAATGAAGTCATCAGTTTATCAGATGAAAAGTAAAAGTTTTTACTCTCCTAACTTCAAATTTGATCTCAATTTGGACTGTTATAATTTAACTTTTCATGTCATGATATTTCATCAAAATTTTGTCAGTTTTATAATAATTTCAAGATTTAGTAAATTCTTTATTTAGTAAATTTTTTATTGCATAATATTGAATTTTCATGTCATAATATTTCATCTGCGGTGACATGGTAGCTCAGTTGTTAGCACTGTTGCCTCAGCAAGAAGGTTGCTGTTTCAAGTCCCAGCTGGGCTTGGCGTTTCTGTGTGGAGTTTGCATGTCCACCTCGTGTTCACGTGGGTTTCCTCCGGGTGCTCCAGTTTTCTCCACAGGCCAAAGACATGCGCTATAAATGAAATAAACTAAATTGGCCGTAGTGTATGAGTGAAAAATGTGTGTATGAGTTTATGGGTGTATGAGTGTTTCCCAGTACTGGGCTGCAGCTAGAAAGGCATCTGCTGTGTAAACCATATGCTGGTTCATTCTGCTGTGGCGACCCCTGATAAATGAAGGGACTAAGCCAAAGCAAAATGAATGAATGAATATTTAATCTGCTTATTTTCATGGCATTTGATATTTTATCTCATATAGTTCCAAAATAATATTTTGACATAGTAAAGTTTATATAATAATTGTGATTACAAAACTATGTTTTTTTCACATATGTGGCAGAAAGAAGCTTAATCCAATTTTTGTCTGTTATAAATTTGACCTTTTTTGTCTGATTAGAAATTTGATTAGCAAGCAGATGGGCAGGTGTACCTAATAAAGTGGCCGGTGAGTGTAGATTGATCATGGTATTACAATATTTGAGATTTTATCTCATAGTTCCAACTTAATATACGTGTATACTAATTGACTTACAAATGTATGGATAATATTTCTCTTGCAGTATATGTGGCAGAATTTTGTCTGTCATAATTTTGAACTTTTATGTCTGAATCAAATTCAAAATCCAACCAAGAACAATAAAAAGACCACATAATTTCTCACAAACCTACAGTAGCATGTTAAAGCTAAACAGATCTAATTACCAAACTCTAGAGCATCCCTGGCAATAAATATGTAAAAAAATTGTAAGCAAATATTTTGAGTTTTTTAATCTCAAAATATGATATAAAAACAGGTTGTCTTAAATCTCAAAAACAGAATTTTAGGCCTTAAAAAGTCTTAAATTTGCTAAAATGTTGTAGGTCTTTAATCTTTTTAAACAAGTCTTCATTTTCCTTTGTTCATGTATTACAACCACCAACAATCCCAATCTCAATTAAACTTTTAATTTTTTATTTAAAATGCCATTTTTAACTCTATTTGCCATAATTGTTAAATTACCCTGACCTGGGCAGACTGTTGTGCACACATTTAGCTTATTATAATTTTTCAAACTTTTAAAACATTTGTCCACATTTTTAAGAAAGTTTATGTTGAAAAAACTAAAAAATGTTTTCAAATAGAGCTTGCTTGTTTTGACACAATATTTAAAATATGTAGAGTTTTCATATTTAAAGTGTTATTATTAAATTATCATTGTATTATTAAATGTATTAAATTATAATAATTTCTGCAATAGGGCAAATATAAATATTTTCCATCTGGGCCATTTGAAAAACTCCTTAGTGCCCTGTATGAGTCTAAAATTTTATTCAGAATGGTCTTAAACATGTCTTTAAAAGTCTTAAATTTAACTTAGGGAAACCTGCTGAAACCCTGAATAATTTAATACTTATAGGATAATTATATTTTAATATTTATTTAATATTATTTTATTAATTCAATATACTTATAATAAGTAATATATGAGATAATACTTA